AAATAAATAAATAAATAAATAAATAAATAAATAAATAAATAAATAAATAAATAAATAAATAAATAAATAAATAAATAAATAAATAAATAAATAAATAAATAAATAAATAAATAAATAAATAAATAAATAAATAAATAAATAAATAAATAAATAAATAAATAAATAAATAAATAAATAAATAAATAAATAAATAAATAAATAAATAAATAAATAAATAAATAAATAAATAAATAAATAAATAAATAAATAAATCTAAGATCGAACGAAAAACAACGAACGTGGCCGATGAACAATGAGAGTAGTTGATTATCACAGAATAAAGGAATCAGAAACATGGCTCTGCCTGAAACAGTGAATTACCTATACCACGGTATGCAACACACAGCTATGGGAATAAATATAAATACATCCACATAACACATATTACAATTTTTTTCTTCATTTCTGTTTTTGAAGATTACAAATCTAAAATTAGAACGTCTTTCCATCTAGTATCAATCAATAACGCATGCTGATTGAAAGGTTCCCTGTTAGTGGTAAACAATTTCTTGTTGCTGATGAGAAACGAACTATAGTGTATATATCAGCCTGAGCTACCTCGGCTTAACACAACAGAATCCACACAATTTATCTAATGGACCACGCTGCATTAAGTTTACTCCGCGGGGAGTAATCATCACGGCATCCTGAATTACACCCAGCAATATACACTTTATTCAACAATTTCATGTTAGACATCCTGATTCTATCAATCGCTAACGAATTAAGATTAATGTATTGTCATCAACTTTACGCGGCACGCTGTAAACTAGTTTATAACCATGATTTCGGGGAAAGGTATATCCGTTATCACATCCTGTCGCGGTGTATCGTTTTCTACGGATACAACGCTGTGATTGATGATGGCAAATTCCTCGACAGGAATGATGTTTTTTTATTGTGTAGATACTCTCGGTATCCAAGGAGGTGCGTGGAATGCTACACATCTTCATTTGATTGGATTCTATACGTAGGTGGGGTTCAGGGCGAGTCAGGAACATCTCATGACAATATCTTGAAAATGAAACGTAATTTAAAGAAACTGTATTGACCCAGTTATCAATTTGCGACATTTTCCAATTTTGTTAATAATTCCAACAAGTGTAGCCTCAATGATGCAATAATGGTGCATGGGAACCACTTCGTTATGGGAATCATCAGTAGCAGTACTTATCTAACACGGTGACCCAAGTCTTCTAAGTCATCGTGTTGTACACGTCTACCGCCGTATCATGGTAACTGAGTTACAAATAACAATTCCGTTGTCACCGCAATACACATTAGAAACAGTGACCTGTTCTCAAGTTCACGCTACAATTAAGCGATTTTTCATTCGACTATATATATATATATATGAAATCAACATTTCGCTTTCAAAATCAATCATCATAAGCCGTGACCCTTGCGATAATTTCACGGTCACCAATCACATGTCAAACTTGAGAAGCATAAATCAAAATTACTGCCTCTGTTCGAAGAAACTGCGACGAAAGACCGGAATCGATTTTTCGCTCATTTTATTAAAAAGTGTCGAAAACAAAATGATCAATATTGCAGTGCGTTAGCAGGTGATATTTGATTTCTTGAGCTAAAGATACTTTTTGTAGATCACTGACATTTATTCGAATGTGCAGCGCGCTGTTCATGCTGAACTCTACATGAAACCGACATGATGAAAGATACACCGGAAATTTCAGAAGACAACGTTGCACAATACAATGCATCTAATTGTATGTAAATAGTGACAGCACGCGCATCGCATCGAATGTTGTCGAATTGTAGCATCTGTGCAAACAACTTCACAGAGCATTAAAACACACAAATTGTATTCTGCTTTCAAACTAATTCCGTTCGGGAAAAAATTATGAAAAACTTCAAGTAAGTTTTAGATATTTATCTGGAATAGCAAGTAATAGACTAATGATTGGTGGGATGTATTAAACGGGATTTGAAGAATACGGACTCAGATGATGTTGAAAGATCGACGACCCTCCTCGTCTAAGCCAGAAGGAAGCATATAATACTGAATAGTTAAGTACGGCTTCGACAACAAGGGTATCATTGAGCTCCTGTGAGAATAATATGGAAAACAAATTAAACTGTGCTGTTGATGCGACAACGTGAAATCAAACTATGAACAGTGTAGTGAACGCACACCTTACCTTTCAATTTCTCAGTGTCGTTGTCTATGTATTAGCGCACGTCACTCGAATGGTTACAATGATTTCACAAGACGGCACGGTGCAAGCAGTCCTAAGGCCAGTCGAAAGCTGTAGTTTGTAGCAAGTATGGCACGCATTTATAGGGCAGAGCTCCTCAAGTGAGCGTCGAAACCCCTTAGCCACGGGAAAATGAATCCTTCGTTATCTTCACGTTTCAATGACCAGGCATTGTTTACCAACGCTGAGTAGAAATTTATCAACCGACTTAGGGGTGCTTCATGAAGTCATGCGCTGACGTTAACAGTTATTTAATAGCAATTTGGGGGACGTAGCAAGTTAGTGAATAATTGGTTGGCATTTCGCACTTGCTTGACGGGAGACATATTTGTTTCATCCTAACGTTTGATTTAAACCCTCAAACAGGAAAAGCATAACGAAAAGACATTTTGAAGAGAGGCTCTTCATACTGCTACAGAGCTAAAACTGGAGTACTCTTTATCTCAGTGATGACTACAAGGAGAGGTGGAGCCCCATTTTCATGAGATTGAGCACCAATTATGTCTACTTGTACATTTCTAACGTAAAACGGGGAGGTCTGAGAATGAGAATCAGCTATGTAATCATCAATTAAAATAAAAAAACGCGATGTATTTTAAACAATAACTAAGTCTAATGGAGATCAACCAACATGGCTCGCCCACAATTTCAAAGAATTTGTCTACTGAGAAATATTATCCCTTATATTAAACACATGTGTGGTATTTGATTTTTGATTTTTTAATTAAAATAACATATTCATACCATACACGAATATACGTTTGTTTTTCATTATCATGTAAATAATCAAAGTTTTGTGATTTTTTCTTACATAAGTTAATTGAATAAATTGATGATGATATCACGTGAATTCGCCAGAAAATTGATAAAAAGATAAAAGGAAGAAGTTTGAGCATACACATCCTTTGTCCAAATTACTACATTTTCGAAAACAACAACATTAGTTGTTTTAAAATCCCCAGAGTTCGGTTTATTATGAAATTATTTTTTTCTCCTGTTCCTCTCCTAACAAGGTTTCGATAATGCTGATGGGTATGGTCTACCACAAGGGTACAACTTTCATACCTGAGGCAGGACGTATTCCTTTCTGCGCAATATATGTATTACCTTACAAATTATATCACCCTATCCGTAATTACCAGTTGGAATCTTCTTGTGTTTCACGAATAATGCCTTTTAGGGGTAATCTTTGCCAGTAGCTATTCGAAAGAAGAAATATAACGCGCGGATATATCTGATACTCTGTACTCTTCACTGCCGAACTGTTGAAGTCACGAAGAGGTTAAATACAATGAATAGATTTTTCGAAATCAGATCATCGTTCTTACGATAGTTCGGTATTCCAACATGATGGCAGGTTCCAACTTAACATTGTAAGGTGGACAATCAGTCACCACGAGGAAGGAAAGCATGGGGTTGGTGGTCGTCAAATATAGTCTATATACACCCATAAAATAAGCATCTGTTAACAAGAATAGGCGCTTGACATTTCTCGTTGAATACTTTCTGGGAAGGTAATTTCCGTGGACGCATAGTAGGTCGTATCAAAGAAGCAATCTCACTTCTCATGTTGCCGCATTGTCACGTGGAATAAAGAAAACGTTAACAGAGTTCATCCTCGCAGTCATTTCAAACCGAAAATAATGTCGATGAGTTTCTTCTTGACCCAAATGATTACCTGTGCCAAGAAATTGCGATTCCAGATTGTGAAATTACAATATGTTTGTTATAATTTTTGATAATAGTTAATATAATGCGTTCACAGTTTATTATATTTTGTTGTTATAGTTCAATATTCACGGTCATATGAGAACGAAATGTGTACTTCGTAAGTAAAGATGGCATGATGACAAATGAAATATATGTGAATGTTGTGGTTTGTAACAGTCAATAAAATACGACGACAGATTTGATATGTTGTTGCTACTACATGCAATTGTCTCGGTCACTTTAATGACTGTTAATTAGCAGTACTGGTCAGAATGACGTAATTATGTTTACTATAGATTCAATGTTATTCATGGTAAATGAACCGCGACAGTCATGCACTACTTATTATTTGGGCGCAATGTACATTTCGTGTCGTTCATATCGTCGTAACATTGTTGCTTTCAACTACCTTTGGAAGGCAACATATTCTCTTTCATGTCGTATTTCAGAGTGTGTTTCTCTGTGTTGATTACGCCGTCATACATGAATTTGTTGGTTTAATCAATAACGTCTTCAGAACTATGTCATGTTTTTCTTTTTTAATATGTTTACTATCGAAGTGAGTAATCTGTCAATGGTTTAAAATCAACACGTCATCATATACGTCACATTTTTCTAATGAAAACGTTTTGTTGGGTAACAAAAAGAATGTGTTGCTTGTTTTTTAAACACTTTCAGGGCCTGGGGAGTTAAGCCCCGGGACACGACATTGAAAAAGTCGATTGGATGATTAATCGTTGAAGTGTAAAATCATGTAATATTTATATTATGCTGAAAAGTCATATTAATATGTGTGTATACGTAGGACAATAATTCATTAGCACCATATTATAAAGAAATAATAATGACTCTCTTCGTTTTGTGTACCCACAATCTACATATAATGTTTTCGCCTATTATATACATGTTATAAATGCATGTTGTATTTTGTTATTTTTATTACAAGTGATATGAAACGGCATTATTGTAAAACTAAGGTATTGATAATATTCTGGGATAAATGTGCCATTAAGGCAAACAACATCTCAGTGAACGATGGGTTCAGGCTCAACTCTCAATTCATCACAAATCGTTAGACTCACCTGGAGTGTAGAATGAAAAAAAGAATACCTCGTCGAACGTCTTTGAGTTGCTACCCCCAAATTATGATTATTATTTGTCGGCAAGTGAGGAAGCTGACATCTTGTAGCTAACCTTTGCTAAGGTGTTTAAGGGTGTACAATAATTAACATGGATGACTGCCATAAATTCAAAATGTTGATTTTCGATCTTGATTTTTGAAGAAAATACATATAACACTGTTACTCTCAACGTAGCTAGTATTCGAGTTCAAAATTAGGAAATACACGTGCATCTCTGTTCGTCACAAGTACGTATAATAAGTTAATCGGTCTACTGTAATCTTGTGTGACCGCTGTGGTTGGCATCTTAGTCAAACATTCCACACAAAAAATGCTTCCTTCTACAGCCTTTTGTTGAAAGAAGGAACAACATAGACAACTTAGAAGACAATTACGATCAAATTCAAGACTGAGATTTAGTCACAAAGCAGAGAAATTTCACCCTGCAGACTCTCAAGATACTTTATTAACAAATACACAATTGAAACACAAATATAAATATTAAGCACAAAATGCACAGAATGGACACATCATATGGCAAATTGAACAACGCAGTTTTAATATAAATTGAACTCCAGGACCTGAAGACACCACTACAACATAGCTAACACAACATGTTCCAACTCTGTTGAAAAAAAATCATTCAAAGTCCCGTCAATATTTATAGCATACTGATGATGTCATTGTAGATATACTTTGTACAACACATCGTCAAACGTAATGTAACGATTTAGTTACGATCCTGACAAGACTATATGAACAATATATATATTTATATTCATCTAAGTATTATGTGGCCATGTGATTCTACATAGATAAGTTTAGAAAATGTGCGTTCACAAATATGTTTACTGAATTTATATATATCAAGTGTAGCGGGGGAAAGCAATGAATGCTCTCAGCTAGACCAGTATGGATAGTCGTCACACGTTAATGCATTAATTGGTGTTTTGTCTTGATGACCTCGCAAAAGGAAACGCTCACCACTTCATTGGTAAACCTTAAACATATTGGACTAGATCAGCGCAACGTTAATCCCATGTATATATAATTTTTGGGATTATTAATATTATTATATTTGTTCTATTTCGTTGCGCATCCGTACAATGTTCTCTGAAACCCATTATCAATGGTTATTTACAATGACAGTCATTTAACAATTTTGTTTTTCAAAGAGATTTGTTAAACAAGCATAGTGGAATATTAAACACAGACTACAAAGGAGGTCGCAATAAAGGAAACCTAGTCACCGCTGATTGAAAGAGGACAACATAATGATGGAAGTAATACAGCGTGCCCGTCTCGGGGCTATGGCTGCATAAGTAAAAGAAGCTTGTTTTTCACGGCAATTCGTCAAATTAAAAAAAAGCGACTTGAAGTGTGTGTGGATGCGGATGTCAGTTTGGTGGTGACTATATGAACTGTATAATTAAAAAAAAGTAAATTGGGTGTCAGTGCCTGATTTATTATGGTTGTGAATTACCTCGTAATTACGTACAAGAAATCACACGTAATGCCCTTTTGAATATCTCACAATCATTAACCAATTGCACATTTTTATGATTAACACACGCTTAGATGGGAGGCAATTTCGCTTCTGTTGCTAATTAATGAATTAGCGTTAGTATGCGTGGGGAAAAACATACGAATCGAACTATGATCGTTTCATTATTTTCTGAAGCCTGCTCGAATGGTTTTCAACTGAAGATGTTGTATATCACAGTCAAGTAAAATTATTAGATCCATCTTCATCGACCCTTCACATACAGCATATGTTATATAATGTTATATAAGTTGTTCGTGCTTAAACCGCGGCAATTTGCTGGAATTAATTTCTACTCGAAGCTAAAATAATACTAATATTAATAAAACATCTGTGCCTGTTTGCACAAATACGGATTGACAAATCATGCTGAACTACAAGAGAGAGAAAAAGGGGGAGATCATTGTCACGAGAAAACGGCGTCAAACTGATTTGATCGGTATATATTTTTCAAATAGTTCTGGGAATCATTTTACGGTTGAATAATAAATAGAAGGTGTAATTAATTGCTCCATCAAGTATGGATCGATCGTCACAGCGGACGATATTATAAGAAAACGAAGGCCATTAAAAGTACATTGCAATTCGCATGTGATATTAGTTTGTATTTATTAATAACTTTTCTTAAAAATAGACAATGACAAACTACTAAATTGTATAGGTTTCTGCC